GGGACCGGCAACGGGATCGCAACCCTCGGTGTTGCGCCCGCACCTCGCTCAGCCAGTGAACTGCTGGTCTGTATGTGGGATCCAAACCCTTGGTGGGAGTGCCGCCGCGCTCGCAAGCAGCGCACTGTAGCAGTGCGCCACCGGGCCGGCCCACCATTTTGGGTTTTCTAATTTCATTAGCCACAATCATAATTTTAATTTGTAGTATTAATTTGTATAAAAGTACTTCATTGCTCCTGGGAGATTTTAGAGCTTCTGACACTGTCCATTGGGAGATAACAGGTTGAGGGCTCAGTCCCCCAAGACTGTCCCCTATTCAGATACCTGTCACAAGTCCAGACCTCTAGAACCTCTGACCTACTAGCTTCAACTTCGGGTTCCCACAACTTGGGTTTGATTAATTTGCTAGAGTGACTCACAGAACTCAGGAAACACGTAGGTTTACCAGTTTGTTATAAAGGATATTTTGAAGGATACACATGAAGAGAAGCATAGGGCGAGGTATGAAGAAAGGGGCTTGGAGCTTTCATGCCCTCCCTGGGTGTGCCACTCTTCATTTCACCTCCATATGCTCAACTATCCAGAAGCACCCCTGACCCAGCCCTTGTGGGTTTTTATGGAAGCTTCACTACATAGGCTTAATTGAGTAAATCATTGGTCATTGGTGATCAACTTAACCTTCAGCCCTTTTCCCCTCCCTCGAGGTTGCAGAATGGGGCTGAAAGTTCCAACCCTCTGATCCTGCTTTTGTCTTTCTGGTGACCAGCCCCCATCCTGAAGGTACCTAGGGGCTGCCAGCCATCAGTTAACTCATTAGCATACAAAAAGACTCATCTCTTTGGAGATTCCAAGAATTTCAGGAGTTCTGTGCCAGGAGACAGGGACCAACACCAAATACATATTTCAGAATATCGCAAATGTGTTGTTGGTTATAGGGGAATGGATCTCAAAACAGAGATGATAATCATCAGCAGAGATAGGATCATTGAAACTGTGAGAAAAGATGAGATTGTCTAGGACAAAATTAGAAAATTAGAAGAAAGGAGGGCCTAAGCCTGAGCTTGGAAGAATGCCAAATTTTAATGGCTGGTAGAGGAGACTGAATCAACAAAGAAAGGACATTGAAAGAGAGAGCGAGGAAGAGAATCAGGAGATTGGGGTTACAGAAACAAGAGTATTCAGAAAGGAATAGTATTTCAGAAACATGGTCAAAACGTTAAACAAGGTTCAACAATACTGCTGAGAGGTCAGGTAAGGTGGGATTGGAAAATGTTAACAATTTTTGACATGTCAGTTATTGGTGACCTCAGAGAGAGCTTTTTAAAAGATTTGCAGAGGTTGAACCCAGATTGTAATGGGTTAGTAGTAAATGGAAATTTAGGAAGTGGAGACAGCTAGCATAGATGAGTCTTTAGAGAATTTTGCTATGAAGAATGAAGAGAGGAAAAGGGAAGTAACCAGAGGTGTTATGTACAGTGAAGTTAGCAACTAAGAGAAGAGAGGAAATTTCCCATCCCTTTTTAACAGCTTTAATGAGGGATAATTGATATATAATAAAACGTACCTATTTGAAAAATATAATTTGTTAAGTTTTTACATAGATATATTTAAGGTGGAAGTATTTTTATTTTATTTAAAAGACATAGTATTTGAGAATATTTGGTTTGAATACAGAATATTTATTATATTTAGAGTTATGATAGTTTACTGTGTTATATAACCTTGGTTTTTATTGGGCAAATATATTCTTGTCATAATAAAATACATGTATGTGAATGATTCTGGTCATGTCTCAGCAGATCACAAATCTGTAGCAGACTTTGAAGAGCTTAAAAGAATGTGTCCATTTTGGAAGAACTAATGTTTTCAAATATGTCCCAAGGACCGCTCATCCCTGGAGGTTCATACATACATTGATTCTTAGTAAAAGCTTCCAGTGAGTCGGGATTTCCAT